GAACTGAATCATCAAGGTGTAAATTGGTCAGTTACTTAGTATTTGTATCATTATGGGTTTCGATGTTATATAACTTTTGTGGGGTAAGTATCTACAAGACTGACTTTATCTCTGCCACAGGTCTGAAGGCAAGCGCTCATACCTGCACTTGGGGACAGATTGTTTTGTACCCTTCAATGTAGTGTTCATGTTCCCGGCCACGTCACCTCACAGCAATGTGATGAGTCAGATGCTGCTGCGCATCATACAGAGTGGCCTCTTCAAGAAACTGAAGCGAGACATGGAGTGGGACTTACAGCGTACATCATCAGGAAAACTGTTTGCGGTCAGTGCTTGCATAAAGTGAACCCCTTATCATCTGCATGTTTAATCTTCCAAACTGCTGATGGATCTGGATTAAATACAGTTAACTTATCAGGAGTATTCTATTTAAGTCTGCACTTATCAAAAGTAACTCCTACTTAACCTTTTAAGGCCCTCTGGTAATTATATTCAACAATCAATAACTCTGCACTTTTTCATTGTGTATTTATGAAGTTTGTATGACTTTCAGAATAAATAGCAAGTATTTCCATGAACAGCATTAACCAGTTTATTTAGATACACTTCAGTGTCAAAGAGTTAAGTGAAGCTAAATATGAAGTTATCAAGTTATAAAGAAGGCTCTATCACACAGAAAATGAAGGTATAACACAAATTCTGCATCTCGTTATGACTGGAAATTTTTTAATGTATTTCTTAACATGATGTGTATTTAATGATATACCAGAAACAAAGAAAAAGGACTGCATTGTCTATACTGTTGATTAGGATCATTCTGGAACTACAAACCCTGAACAAGTCCTACTATTAAATGTGCTGCTTTTTAAAAATAATAAAAGCACAATCTACCAACTGACTTCCAATGTGTGTTAACACCATAACTTTTTGTTCTTTCTGAAGGCTTCTAGTGGACCATCACTGCAAGCTACAAAAGCAGAGGAACGGCAGTTAACTCTAGAAGATGTAACAGGAATGTTTCTTCTGCTTGGTGCTGGATTTGGAATTGCAGCCTTTATTCTTTTCATTGAGGCTATAGCCTGGATAATGAAGAAAATCAAGAGAAAATTCTTTCCTGAAAAAGAATGTTATAAAAATTCTGCTCTTTTAAATGAACATGGTGACATGACACATAAAGATAAAAACAATGAGCAACAAGAAAGCCTGATACATGATGATACAGACCAGCCAGGATTAAAAAAGAGACGTGTGTACAGCGCAGATTCAAGATTCAAGACATATGAGGACTCTGATGACAGGTCTAATGACAGACTGTCGTATGTTATCCCAATGCAGTCAGCGACCAGTTTGCCAGCAACATATTCTATAAAACTAAAGAACAGAAGAACTCAAACTCCTAGACCAAGCTACACTTTCACTGTAGAGAGAGATGCAGAAATGTTCAGAGATGAAATATGAGAAGCCTTAAATTATACTAAATGTGGGAAATATGAAGAAGCTAGTTGAATGGAACCACAATTCCAGACAGAGAATGCAGATGGAGCTGAAGCTCAGGAGCAAAGCTATCCTATGTCTGAAGGGGAAGCATATGGGATTGACAGACATGTTTGTATATGTTGATGTTATGCAGTGTACTCTACTTCAAAGTTTTTCTTCAACAATCACTAGGTGCTTTACCAGGATGGACAGGAAGGTCAGTTCAATTGTGCTATGGATCTTCACAACCTTTAATCTGCATCTGTCAAGAAAACAACAAAAGCACCAACAACAAAACATTACAGAGAATTATCTTACATATAAACACTTATATTCATATGAGAAAATACACCTCCTTAATGAGTCACTCACATGACTGCCAACAACATGTCTATTCAAACACTCCATCAGGGATCGAACCCTGGTCATCCAGTCCGTAGCCAGTCATTATACTGACTGAGCTACACCTGCTCATACAAGTATTTAAAAATTGTGTTTACTTTTAAGAAAAATAATATTTTTACTAAACCTTTTTTTGACTCTTTTAGTGAAGAAAATGACTGCAATATGTTTACCAATTCTCACAGCTGTCTGTATATTCTGCACAAGTTACTCCCTACTTTTCCATACAATGAAACTGCCATGTCCACAGTAAAGAAAAGGTTAAAAAATTAAAACATGCTAAAGTATGCACTACTACAATTTATTCTGTTGTTGGCAATCCTGTTCACAATTTAATATTGGACACTTGCATATTCTCATAGAAAAGAATAACAGTGAGGCATTTTATGATCACTTCACACATTTATAAAGTATGCTTCTTTCTGTACATTTGGCTCAACAGTAGGTTATAATTACTCCAGAAATGCTACAATAGGATTACTGTATGGTTTACAAAGTACATAACTGAAGTACTGAATCAAAGAGTACATCCTAGAGTGTCAGACAGACATGTAAATAGTTCAGCTTCTTCAAGTATAGATGTGTTCTGATTTATGTAGTATTTACACCCCTGGAAAAGAGATAAATTTAATAATTGTTCTAATTCTTTTTCCATGAACTAACTTTCAAAAATACGGATTAAATTCTTGAGCAGATATTATCTTAACTTTCATAAATTAAGCTCTGAACTCAGATAGTTCAGCACCAAAACCACTACTCCACTTGGCACCAATATCAGAATGTACTTGTTTTCAAATTTAGTTGTCAAATCAAGACATGAAAATAAAACAATGGTAAATATGAGATGCATTTATCTTCAAAACTGTTATTATGTTATGACAAGCCAGTTTTCTGAAGTTTTTGAGACAATGCTGTCTCCATATCACTTTATCCTTAACCCTTTAAATCACAATGGTAACTGTATGTACAACCATCTTTAACATTAAATAACTCTGCATTTTGCACAGAGTGCATTTATGGGTTTTGTACCATTCTTAGAACAAACAGTGATATATCCCTAAATAGCATTAACCAATTATTCTGTAACTGAATGTGCTTCCTGATTAACTTCAAGCTTTAAAGATTTATGATTCAGATTTCTATGTCTCCAAAACTGACCTACCATAACATATTATCCACAACAAAACATTAGGAAATCTTTATTACTTAAAATTCTATATGCCATTAAATTAGCAGTTCCTTAAACCTCTTTAACTAATTTTCAATTTTGTTTCCTTCCATATCTCTCTAGTGTTTTGTATGTAACAGACCACACTATTTCCATACGTTGCAATTCAAGATCACGGTTTCACTTGTTCCCTCTGGATGTTACTGAAAGTTTGCCTGCCACCATAAGAATTTCCAGATATTCTTAATACTTCATTAAATGGTGGGGGTTAAATAATTGGGTGGGCTCAAAGGCTAGAACTAGAACAGATAATATAAACAGTTTCATTTAGTAACCTAATACTAAGCACACAAATTGTAAACTAAGTGATAAAGAAATTCTACATATTATTTTTCAGATAATTCTGACATTTCTATCAGTATATGAAAGGAGAATACAGAATGTCTCAGTTTTTTGGTTTTAACATTGGTAACCTTAATATAATTAAATTCTTTTTTACTGATGCCATATTATAAAACTTTTTTTCAGAAAAGTTAATATAATGATCCAAGCAATGCTGATGGTCATTATACAAGTGTTCCTGCATGTATTAATATATACAAAGACACTCTGAGGGAAATAAATTTCAGTTCAAAGTTAAACATTTCTTCTAAATTCAGATTGGCACTGCTTTGAACAAACACACATATGAAACATGAAATGTTTATATACAATATTTCATATTCTCTCTTTACAATATAACAAATAAATTATGTAGGCCTCTATAACTTCTTGAATGATATATATTACACATAATGCTTCTCTTAATACCTCCAGTTTCATCGTGTGATGGGGGAAGGCAGACAACCTGTATACAACAGGATAAACACTCCAGAATGCCAATTTCTTTCACTGGTAGAAACTAACTGAAGAAAATGTATACTGGACATTACACTGCAGCTTTTACAACTCTTTTCTTTAACATCAAGACTGCTTATCAAGAAGAATATAAAATATGCAATTGAGAACTTCACAGTGATAATAAGGCAAAAGAGATAACTATGAAGGAAAGTAATAAGACTGTTGCTATTATTTTGAACTGGAACTCTCTGGAGCTGTTGGTTTCCTTCCTGGGATTTAGCAAACACCACTACTTTCCTTTTGGGTCTGGTCTTCTATCCTTTCTCTAAATTTCAACCCTAAGCAACACATTCAAATGAGTTTGCATCAGAGGACCAAAATCTTAAATCTCTAACAGAAGTCACAATGGGAACAAAGGAGTCATGCAAACTTTCAAGTGCTTCAGTCAGGAATAGCAATTTTTACATGGGATTATTTTTGAGAATTCAGGCTGACAAAACATTAAGTGTCTCATTAACATAATTTCTTCCTTTATAGACAGCTGTGATTCTCTCTTGCATGTAATTTCACCAGAAAAAGTTTTTCTTTCCACACCACTACAGGTGTTTTCAAACTGTCCAGTGCCCCTTACCCTCTGAACCCATCTTGCAGACTTCCTCCATCTCACACATTATCTACAATAAACACATCACCTGAATAAACTTCAAAGGAGCAATAACAAAATGGCCTCACATAACCATTTCATTCTGTAATATAATAGACAAAAGATAATTCTGTACCAATATCAAGAGTCTGAGGAAAAGACACAACACAGAATTCATGAAAAGGTGAAAACAAATAAGACACATCTAATGATCTAGTCATAAATATATATACATAAAAAAACATTGACTATATATGACAAGTATTAAGGGTTACTAGAAGTTTCAGATAACACAATTAAAATGGAATACAGCAAGATAATTTAATGCAGTCACTTCACCAACATGTGCTGCCCTATATAAGGAAGTTCTGGCACAAGGTACATAATGATGTTTGTACATTAGCTCTGCACATGCAAACTCATCTGAAACAGAAGTGGCTGAATTCCTCGCATGTATCGCTTTACCTGCTACTGTATATCCAACACATTCACTGCCAACAAAAGAAGCTGTCAAATATGCTCTCCAGAACTAAATACAGTTTGAAACATCATAGCTAAACGACTTCATCTAAATAATTTGCCAGATATGTTACTTAACTGCCAAATGAATGAAAAGTAAACATCAGCAACAAGTAGGACTCATAAATGCAGATAGTACAAACTGTAAGGAAGTGATCTATATGTAGCTTTCAACATGCATTTGATAGCAGAATTTGTTTTTATCATCTGATCAAATACTGCACTGATACAAAATGTATTGATTTTTGACATAATTTAATAGACACTTGTGTGAATCTTTAACTATGATTGTTGCTTCAACAACAGGTTTAAACTGGCATTTAAACAATCAGCAGTGAATGTATTGAAGACCCATACACTTAGACAATGCACTTTCAAGACATTCATGATACAAGTATAATGGCTAGTGTGAAAAATTAATCACTCAAAGAGAGAACAAACACCTTCCAAACAGCAGTATCAACACTATGCTACAGACAACCACGTTTATATAACTCTCTTGCTGAGCTATGTGTGTTGGATAAAATTCCAATTTTTTTGGAAGCTCCTCCTGCTTTCACATCAGGTCATATTTCATGTGCCAAACTATCATCTCTTGAAAACAGTTGATTTGCTATACACTGGCATTCCTCTAATGCAGAGATTCTGAATTCTTGATTTTTAAAACTACTGTATATTTTCGATTAATTACATTTCTGCTTCAGATATTTTGAAAGATGACAAACATTTCCATATTTACCTCACAGGAATATTATTATTATTATGTCTATGTGTGAATCTGCCCACCAGTAATATCCTAACAAACTGACTGACAAACATAAACCACTGCCGACCACCCTCCTTTGTACTTTAATTCCCCAACATGGCGATTAGG